TCTTCACAAACAGAGATCATATGGTCTTCATAATGTTGAAGAAGAAGAGCCTCACTACTGATCTCCTCTTGACAAATCCAGCAGCTGTAATTCTCAAAGATGACCAATTGTGCATCTTCTAGATCAGTGTCTCCAGTCTCCCTCTGTGTTTGAAGGTTGTTTGTAAAACTTGTGGCCCTGCTAACATTAACGTTTTTACCTCCCGCTCTCTTCCGCTTGCATGATTCCAAACGTTTAGACAGACTTTTGTTTTTCTGGAAACATTTACGTGACTCAACCAGGGTGTGGATTCTCACATGCTTCCTCAGGCTTCCTGCTTCACTGAAATGCTTGCTACACTGTTTACATTCATAAGGCTTTTCCCCAGTGTGAATTCTTTCATGAATCTGTCGGTTTCCTTCTTCGCTAAAACACTTGCCACACTGTTCACATTCATAAGGCTTTTCCCCAGTGTGACCTCTTTCATGACTCCTCAGGTTTACTGCGACACTGAAACGCTTGTTACACTGTTTACATTCATAACGCTTTTCCCCAGTGTGAACTCTTTCATGAATCCGTAGGTTTCCTGCTTGGCTAAAACACTTGCCACACTGTTTACATTCGTAAGGCTTTTCTCCAGTGTGAACTCTTTCGTGAACCCTTAGGTTTCCTGCTTCGGCAAAACACTTGCCACACTGTTTACATTCGTAAGGCTTTTCCCCAGTGTGAACTCTTTCATGTCTCCTTAGGTGTTCTGCTCGGCTAAAACATTTGCTGCACTGCTTACATTCAAAACGCTTTTTCCCAGTGTGAACTCTTTCATGCTTCCTCAGGTTTCCTGCGTCACTGAAACGCTTGCTACACTGTTTACATTCATAAGGCTTTTCCCCAGTGTGAGCTCTTTCATGAATCCGTAGGTGTCCTGCTTGGCTAAAACACTTGCCACACTGTTTACATTCGTAAGGCTTTTCCCCAGTGTGAACTCTTTCATGAATCCGTAGGTCTTTTGCTTCGCCAAAACACTTGCCACACTCTTTACATTTGTAAGGCTTTTCCCCAGTGTGAACTCTTTCATGTCTCCTTAGGGATCCTGCTTGGTTAAAACACTTGCCACACTGCTTACATTCATAAGGCCTTTCCCCAGTGTGTACTCTTTCATGAATTGTTAGGTTTCGTGCACAGCTAAAACACTTGCCACACTTTTTACATTCATAAGGCTTTTCCCTAGTGTGAACTCTCTTACGTCTCATTAGGATTCTTGCTTGGTTAAAATTCTTGCCACACTGTTTACATTCATAAGGCTTTTCTCCAACGTGAACCCTTTGATGTCTCTTTATGTGTCCTGCTACACTAAAACACTTGTCACACTGTTTTCATGAATCCTTAGGTGTCCTTGGCTTAAACAATTGCCACACTGCTGGCTTCTTTTAATATGTCTAGGGTACCTTTCGAAAGCAGGGAAAACGTTATTAGTTAAATGAACAATTATCATTTTGTTCTATGGCTACGAAAAGTTGCAAAACAAATTTTGTGGCAAGCTGGTGTAACTATAAAGGTGTGTAACAAACGCAAATAGTTTAAAGGAAGTATGGGACACGTGGAAAATTAGAAAATTCAAAAGACACCCACTCTTGAAAAAGTGATTCTAGACCATGCACCAACTGACTACATGCCTAAAATAATAAACGACCCCTTCAAAATGGAGAATCTATCAACAGGGGTCAGTTTATATTTTGCTGACCTTTTGTATTAGGATCTGAGAGTCCCCTGTACTTTGACAAATTTTTCCCAATTTTGATAAGAAAATTACAGAAATATTTGGGTAATATATGTATAGTTTCTTGGAGTACTCCAAACATTTCCACCATTCATGTGAATGATTTTTGACACCTGATTATGACGTTTCCTTCCCAGTATAAAGGAAACACCAAAGCATTCCCTGAGGTATCGCTCTACTCAAAAGTATGTTTTTTCAATACAGAGCCTTCTAGATGTCCAACTTTAAAACAAAAAAATCGTTTTTCAATTAACTAAAGATATGACTGTTGCAGGGGTAATTCCAATATGAGCAATTGCAAATAAACCTGAAAAAAAAAATGGGACTTCAACAGGATTTGCACCCATGGCCTATGTGTTAACGCTGCAGTGCTCTACCATTTACGCTATACATTGGGAGCAGGTCAAATTGTTGAGTTCATCTTAACCAATGAAAGGAATGATACATGAAGAGTAACACTAAGAAATATGATCATGTGACTCCAGTGCTTAAGAACTTAAGGTGGCTACCAGTAAAAACCAATTTATTCTTCAAAGAAGCCATTATGGCATTTAAGTGTATGACGGGCATGGCCCCAGAATATTTAGGTAATAAATTTATTTTTAGAGGCGACGTAAGTAGGCGGAAGACTAGAAGTTCCCAGAACTTGAATATTCCAATATTTAAAACTAAAACAGGGCAGAGCTCCTTTTCTTATAGAACTGTATTCGTTAACATATGGAATAATTTACCATCTGAAATTAAGCTTAGCAAATGTTTAAATAATTTTAAGTGCAATTAAAGAAAACATCTTATGAAAGACTTTCCATGATGAGTCATGATGAGTTACGATGGGTTATCCTGTTGCAACTATTAGCTAGTTTTAATTACTTAAATTAATTATCATCTTTAATATAATTTATTAATATACTGTGTAGTTTTTAACTTTTATCTGTTAATTAGTGCAACTGAAAAACCCACATGGGGTGATGTCAATGATGTATTGTATTGTATTGTAATTGTTACTTAAGCAATTGCAAATAAATCTGAAAAAAGTTCGAGACCTCAATGGAATTCACACCCATGGCCCCTGTGTTAGGGCTACAGTGCTCTACCATTTGTGCTATGAAGACCCATACATTGGGGGAGGTCAATTTGTTGAGTTTATCACCTTAACCCATGAAAGGAATGAAACATATCTGTGTGGATTTTATACAAGGTTGCTGTACTGAGTCTCTAGTCAGCCAAGTCCAAGGAGCAACTACTCACCCTCCCCACCCATGAAGCTTATGACTATGAGTCACCACATTGATTTGGCTGGCCTAGCCCAGTGGAAAAATTCTCTGACTTTGCACTGCTTTCTGACATCAAACTCTAATCAAAGTGACAAAATCTCCCCTCCCTACACCAATGGTTTTCACACAAAAAAAACTCAGCCACCCACCCACAAATAGGTCTGGGCCTGGGCTCTCTGCTGACACCTAGCAAGACTGCAACCCGCTGCTTTTTTTCCGGCTACCCTGGCTTGAACACAGGTGATGCCCATATTCAAACGAAAACTTAGCAGGCACCTTTAGCAAAATCACACAAACATAGATGATCTGAAATGAGGAAATACAAATTTTTAAATGAAGATATGATTGCACTGGTAAAATTTGTATTTTTGCAGTTCAGATCATCTTTATGTTTCATTCCTTTCATGGGCTAAGATGAACTAAACTTCGTTCAGATAATCTTGTAAAAGTCTGTGTTTTAAAGCTGACTGAGTCATTCTGATTAATTAATTCATTCAGAGTAGAGGACAGGTAAGTCAATGTCACTAAAACAGATTGGTTTTTTGGCAAAAATTAAATATTTTTACTACAATAAGATTTCTCTACAATTCAGCGTGCAAAGAAAGTAGTGTCTGATATAGCCTGGGGCTATACGAAATATTTCTAAATTCTAATTCACAGTTCTGTTACCTAGAAGTTGGACTTTTGTAATTCTCTTCTTTTTGGTGCCCAAAAACAGGACATGGTTAAGTTGTAGTCCGTTCAAAATGCGGCTGCTCGAATTATAGCCGGTCTCAAAAAACGAGATCACATCACCAAGACTCTCAGAGATCTTCACTGGCTTCCTGTTGAGGAGAGAACCATTTTTAAAATGAATTTAATAAATTTAAAACATTGAATGACTCTGGTCCCTGTTATCCTGAAAATATTTTAAAATTTTACCATCAATCGAGGACATTACGGTCATAAAGGGATCATTTACGCCTTGAAGAACCAAATTTTGACATGAAAACTTATGGCCAGGTTTTCCGTTGCTGCCGCCCGACTATGGAACAAGCTCCCCTTTGAAATTCGCGCTTGTTCTGATGTTAATCTTTTTAAATCTAAGTTGAAATCATTTCTTTTTAAAAAGGCATATGACATTTAGTTTCATCATATTTGTTTTTGTTTTCTTTCCTTTTTAAGATGTATATGCTATAAATTTCCCAATATGTACAGTAGTGTGGCAACCTTTAAAAAATGACTTTCTTTGCACCCTGACAATTACATGTAGACTACAGTTTACTACTGTTAGATGTTATACAACTAGATTTTTGACTACAATTTTGATTTCTTTTTCTTCTGCAATTAGATTTTTCATGTCAATTAGTATTTTTCTTGTATATGCTTCAAATATGTTTATTACCCTTGGTGGGTGGGGGGGGTGTCTGCTACACAGCCGTTTTTAGTGTCCTCACCACAAACGGCTACTGAAAACCGAACCACATTCCTTTCCCTTTGTGTCTGCGGTCTAACGAACAAACCAATCACGTATCTAGAAATTGACTGTGACGTCAGTTTTTGCGGGTAAGGCCAAGCGATTCCGGGCGCGAGGATATGAACATGCTTTCCAGCAAATCATGGACGACGGAACCCCTAAGAAAATTGTCGACAGTGATTCGAAATGCTTTACTTGCTCTTCGCCGTCAGCAAATGCAGAGAAAATTTACATTTTTGGTAAAAGTTCAATCGACGTGCAAGGTATTATTAAATCGTCCCTTAATGTGGATGTGAGCTGTTTCGCGAACAGTGGCAAGATATTTGTTTGCAAGAGTTGCTACAAACGATTGACGAAGTTTCAGCGATCTTCTGAAAAACTGAACGAAATTCGCCAAAAAATTGCAGAAGCCTTCAAAAAAAGGGATGTACCGAGAACAAAGCGCCTTCAAAGGGCTTCAGAAGACTTACACGGCAACATTCCTGAAGGAAACCATCAGGACCAGGTCCGCGATATGTCGCGGACACAGGAAAGTTTAAGTAGACAGAAAGTATCCAAATCGCTTCAGTTTGGCACAGGCCAAGCTACCACTTGCACTTCTTCTGCTAATTCCAGTTATCAGGATTTTTCTTCATGGAAACAGCCTGTGCCTGCTTACCTTCCAGGTTTTTTATCCCCAATTCAAAGTCAGCCCAGTCTTCTGTTGAGTGCTTTCCCAAATCAAAATATGGCAAGTCCTCGAAGTGCACATGCATTTCTTCCCGGAGTGACTTCAACTCCAAGATCATCCGACGTCCAAGAAAAGAGTCAAGTGCAACTAAAAATTCAGTATCCCAGTAAAAATGTAAACAAATCTCTAACTGGTTCATATCAGTCCACTGGAAAAGCCTTAGCACATGGCGTTCCGTCACAAATTGCAGGAGCTGTTATGAACTGCCATTCAGTGCGAAAGCATATTGTGGAAAAGGTGTTGAAGATCGTCAACAAAGAAGTTGCCGAACTATGTTCAACGAGAAAGCCATCAATTTTAAGGAAAATTGAAAAGGAAGATTTGGAGAAGTTTGACCTACAGTTAGTTGGTGATGAGTGGCGTGAACAAGCTCCCGTTTTTTATTCATTCCTTCTCACTTCGGCTATCAACAAAAGAACAAAATCTTTCGGCTGGTTTGGAAGCTTGGCTATCACCGGATCTATTCTGTTGAAACGGCGAAACAAGGACATAAGCGCTGCTGCATCTGTGATAGGTATTCTCCTGAAAAGCAAGTCTGTTGAGGTGTGATTCGTTTTATTGATCTTGAGCTTATTTTACTTTTGATACTTTTTATTTCGTGTCATACGTATCTGAAATTGTTCACGCTACATTACAGGACATTTATTATTTAAGGTCAATCTGTATTTGATAAAACAATACACACATTAAAGTCATAAAACTGCTTTATTCTCTGAACGATAAAAATAACCGTGGTATATTTAAGAAATTTTTATTTTAAAAGATGCTATTAATCATGAAACTAAAAAAAAATCTTCATATAAAAGACATCTATTTACAATGTATTATGAAATTTTTAACATAGGTCGTTCTTTGTGTCACAGGCAACCCTCGGTAGGCTCAACAGACTGAAGGTGACAAATTCAAACAGTCAGATTCTTTACACGTTGGACAAACTTGGGGGTGATCATGATGCCCTCCTTTTGAAAGCAAGGAACATAATTTCTCAAGAAAACTCCAAAGCGATAGAGATTCAAGAGAAGCACAAAAATATTTTGATGCAACATGAATCCCATCAAACATGCACAGCAGAGTGCCGCCAAGAGCAAACTAAAGTCAGGATGGAGGAGTATGAATTCAAGAAAGCTGCACACCCTCGATTTGTTATTTCGTTTGACAATCTGGACTTCCAGCTACAGTGAAAGAGTATGACATTGCAATCGCAAAACCGTGACTTTCATTGGGTGAACCACCAAATGATTGAGAACAGGGTGTCTGGAGCACTCCTTGACTCCTAACAACCAAAAGCCAATCTTCAGGAGTTGTCAAACCTGCAATTTTTACCAACAATTGAAGACCAGCAATGGCAAAGGTCCAATTACGTGGTTTTAACGGCACGGATTTTAGTGGAATACTTTGATGTTTTGAAGCCTTTAAAGGAAGCGTGCATCTATCATATTCCCCACAAATATACTGAGGAGAAGTCAAAAAAGGTTATTAATAATTATTACTAGTTGAACAAATTGTTTGTGGGGAGGAGCATTGCGTGACGACACTAAAAACGGCTGTGTAGCAGACTAGGGGGGGGGGGCACCTTGCATGGGTCTAAATTTGCTGTTCGTGCATTTCCCTTTTTGGTGTTAATCATTTCCTTTTTATCACATTTTTAAAATCATGAATATATATTCTAGTTAGTTTGATGTTGCCCAATAAAGTATGGAATAAAGTGTGATTGAAAATTGATTGAACACGAACAAACAATAACAAATGGTGATCTCAACAATCACTGTTAAAGAACAGCTTTAATAGATGAACCATTAACTTATTACCTAAACATTTCTGGACATTAATTTCGTTGTTTGCCAGTTAAAAATCATATTTTACTTTTTGCAAGAATTAAAGGCTTACGAATTGTCCATAAATGTAATAAAGCCTTAATTATTGATATTCAAAGCAAAAAAGAGAAAAGAAAATTATAAGGATCAATACTTTTCCAAAATTCAAAGAATATACTGGTCCTCTCGTCAAAGAACTATTGATTTCACTTTTTGATGATATCAACAATGAAGCCATTCCTTTGTTCATATTTCGATACTTCAATAACAATCTACTCCCGGAAGGGGGGGGGGGCACTTGGGTATTTTTTGGGTGGGTATGAGCCGCCCAGGACTCCAAATTGGCACCCCGTTCTAGAAAAAATTTCCCCTAAAATTGATACCCCGTTCTAGAAATGGTCCAATTTTTTATACTCTGTTCTAAGGTGCGACAAGAGTAAAACGGTTTGCTTGTTAATGCATTGAACCGTATTTTTAAAAGCAATCTGTCCTTGAATAATTTCAAATGGCTGCTTACAAAAGTAGAGTTTTAGAAAACGCCTCTGAAATGGACACCCCGTTCTAAATCAGGAGCTTCAAAATCACAATCCCTTTGGGCGGCACATACCCGTAGAGGTAATGTATGGGAGTACCCCCCCCGGGAATCTACTATCATCTATCAATGATTTCTTTTGTCTGCATGAACAAAGATTTTCATCAATCATAACAAAAGATCATCACTAACGTTCACAAAATCTAAGCACGAAAACTACCAAAAACACTACATAAAATACAAAGCGTTGGAATAACTTACCAAAATCTGTTAAAGGAATTCAGACATTCAATTCATTCAGGAAAAGAATTAGAACGCACTTTCTCCACAAGCAAGAAAATTAGAATTTCACTTTACAAACGTATTTACATATATATAATCCTCGTAACACAGCTATATCCTTTTCATTGTAGTAAACTTCTTCAGGGATTCTCCTCTCTTAAAATTTCGGTAACCTCAGTTTTATAGTGGCCTCTGTTGGTTTGTAATTTCGTATGTGAATAAATTGGCCATGGAATGTGAAGACTTGTAACACAGGACGTAACATGTCCATCGAAATCGATCATCGGAAAGCTAGTGGATAAGTCGATAGTGCTCGATAATTGTCGATTGATTAGTTTAATTTGTCGATAAAAGTCGATAATCACAAACTTCTCGGGGCTGGCTATCGATTTGTATCGACTTTTATCGATTTCTATCGACATCAACACGTCAAGTGAACGGAGATACTTTGTATAATTATTAATTCTATTCATATCTTTTATTGTACATATTTCACCGTTTATTGACTACATTCAATTTTAATAATTTTTATTATTTTATTTAATTAACATTTTTTCCACGGCCCCATAAGCTATATTAGCTTTAAAACCCACCGTGTTTAAATAAAAGATGTCGTTGTTGTTGTTGTTGTTGTACAAGCATCGCGAGTGTAGAAAGTTGTACGGGGTTGATAATGGCAATAAAGCTGAATAAAGTTGCATTAAAACCTGAAAAAAACAGATCTTACCTTCTTCAATCCGCCACCGAATGTTTACCTCAAGAAATCTGAAGAAATCCGCCTTGGTTTGCACCACCTGCGTTCAATATCGCTTCTGTCGCCTCGCAATTTTTTCCGGCCTTGCGCCGCGATTGTTTTGGTCAGCACCGGTACACACCTTATGTATGTATCTTTGAAAGGGCCCTGAGATAGCGGGAAAATGCTACGATAAATAAAGAACAAAATGCAGACAAAGTACTCAGATGTAATTAACTTTTATTCAATTATTGTCGGTTATTAATGTTCGCTGGATCCACCACTGTATTGTCCAGGCTTGTACAGGCCCTGCTTTGCTTTTCTCCTTTGGATGACGAGGAGCAAATGGAGTACATCTCCCGGTACTTTTGTGTTCGACCTCTAAATAATTTCGGTGATGAGTTGGGGTGAGTTGTTTCATATTGGAGTTTTTACTGGGAAGATAACAGAGGCTACTAAGAATAATAAATTCGCTTTGTTGTAGCTCTCTACTCAGCTCTAGTTACAGTGCAAAATAAAACATTGAAACATACATAGCTCTACATATGATCGTTTTTTATCTTTCGATACTTTTCGATAAAAGTATACCTGCCAACTCTCACGCCTTAGGCGTGAGTCTCACGCCTGCGGGCTGAAAACTTCCATCTCACGCCTCACGCCTGCGGGCCAATTTCTCACGCCTGATTGAAAAATGTGAGTTGTTGCCGTCCTGCTCGACACAATTTCCAAAAATATGTTAACTCAGACCCATGTAAGGAACGAAAACCATGTGTAAAATGAATAAATGGCAATACCTTCCTCGCGATCTCTGATTTTTGAAGTGAAAAGCACTGGGAGCGAGCTCGCCTTTGGCAGACTTTTGCAGACTTCGGACGTCTTCGGAAGATTTCGGACTTCTTCGGGAATCTTCGCAAATGATCGTGTCGTCTTCAAAAATCCCAGCACTCCCAGGATAAAAATCTCACGCTTATATCTCAGAAAAAGTTGGCAGGTATATAAAAGTCGATTGAAATCGAACTCTAACACCAAAAGTCGATCAAAATCGATAATCACAAGAAATTTTGTGATCGACTTTTATCGACAACGATCGATTTTTATCGACTATCGGAATTATCGACATGTTACGTCCTGTGTAACAGAAGATTTCGGACTTTAATAGCCACTATCATTTGACTTTCACAACTGAAGGTATCCATAATTTATTAAAATCCTGTCTTACCTTTGGCAACAAGACCTCGCCACTTTTCACACTCTGATCAAATCACACGAGGGAAGAGAAAACCAAGATCAAGACAGAGCGAAAAGATAAATGTTGCTTTACAGACTGCTTTACTTAGTGAGAGAAACCTGGGGAGAGTGCAAAAACCCTTGGGGCTGGGAAAGGGGGGGAGAGGGGTGTTGTGGGGCGTCTGGCTTGAAAGATAGTATAAAAATAGAAAGTGACTAAGTTGGGGTCGCGAAAATTAGATATTTGCCCAAAGTGACTAAGGTGGGGTCTATGATTGGCCAAAAAATAGACTATAATGGGGTAGGGCCTATGAGAGGCCAGCGGCACATATCCAGCAAAAATTAACCCAAGTAACCAAGAACGAGAAGTCCAAAGACTACTGCAAAGCTGATTTAAAACAACGTGTATTGTTTTTTATAACAATGTTTCGGCTTGCCATACCAGCCTTCTTTAGGTTTACAGACGTTACAAAACTTATGTAGCAATCACAATATTATATAGATGGAGAATGTCGCAATAAAAATTGTTTAAAAAAAAGAGGCGGAAATGACGTAAAACACAAAAACTGGAAAAGAAAAATACTAAGGAGATGGATTACAATAATTCGTCACGGCGGTTTAGGCCATGAGGTTCAAGGGTCATGGCCTTATCTATCAAATGCGACTCCCTGGCCTTACGAACTGAGTCACGTGAAGAATGAATTTTCTCTAGTGGGATTAACTGAATGTCAGTATGAGAATGGTTAGAGTGAGAGAGAAAGTGTTTAGAAACAGTAGTGGGTTTAGATTTAATGTTAGTTTTGTCGACTGCACGTCCAAGTAACCCCTGCTGAGACATTCAACAACGTAACTGGGGAAGGGTGGGATGGTATTACCTGATCGACTGATTTCCATCTTTAAATCTAAAACGGCCCCCAGCTACCAATGTGAACGAAATAAAACTCAGTCAGTAACTGATAATAACGCATGGATATCTGGCTCTGTAAGCTGATCCAACTTGACTTCTGGTGTTTCCCCGCTTTTCTTGTCCCTCAAAATGGTGATCTATTCCGTGAAAATGGACTGATTGTCAGGTTCACTTAAAGTAATGTTAAGCTGGTGATGTAATGTATTTGGATACCCGTGTCAGGAGCGCCTGGAGTCCAAGATTAAGATTAGTCTTTTTCATACTAAATAGGGTTTACCCGCTCATAGACAGAACGAAACTCCCACATCAAAATCAGCCAAAATAGACGGTGGATAAGAACCGAACTCGGGTTAAATCCCCTAGCCTGCGTAGCAGACGCTTGGAAGTAGCGGGCGAAAGAGAGAACAGGCGCGCGCGACGCAGACACGCCCTCGCGTGTCTCCTTCTCGCCCGCGCGTTTTTTCTTGTGCCCACTACTTCTAAGCGCCTGCTACGCAGCTACTAATCGCGGATTAAAGAAAAATTAAAGATTAAATCTTAGTATTTCTTTATTATTGGACGCCGGTTGGCGGACAGCTTTAGAGAACACCGAGAGATATCATCAACGGGAGGAATGACCTTCCTGTACCTGCCCACTTCGACCAAGCCAATCATACACTGGAGGTCAAGAACGTTGCTGTATTGAAGGCAGGCCTAACCAACCAGGAATACCGTAAGAAGCAGGAGATGAGGTCGATTTTCAATTATGGGACTGTGGGTCCTAGTGGCCTTACTCAATACTTAAGTTTCACATGAATCACTCGCTTTTTGCATACTCGCGCGCCGGCACGCGCTATCACATGTAACAAGCGCGCGAGTATGCAATCGGGCGCGTGAGCTGACTTAACAAACTTTTTAACGGTATTTACTCTTGTACACTGAAGAAAGCAGCATGGCCAAAACGTCCCTGGCGCGCTTAATTGCACTAATGCCAGAAAAAAACCTTTTTTAGAAGTCATCTAAATATGGTCACCCCAATTCAGATTCTGGTGATTTTTTACCCCAAGGGATTTGAAAACCAAGACCTGTTTGATCGGAGCGTCGTCGATGACAATACTTGGTTTCTGCGATACGTTAGTCTCTTCTTGAGCCAAATATAAGGAGAAACTCAGTTTTTTCATATTAGCATGAGCTTGTTAGCGACAAGACAAATATAGACCTTATTCAGATCATTTTTGACAATTAAGCTTAGGTAATACTTGTATCGCCGGCTCACATTCTCGGATGAGAGAAAGTCATTTATGTAAAAAAAAAAAATAATTAGGAGCCTACAATGGTCCCCTGGGGCACACCACTTGTGACAAATCTCTTACCCGACTTACAGCCGTCTATATAGTTTAGGGTAGGTTTTCACAATTCAGGCTGATTCGGTTCTTAATGGGTTCTTATTTTCCAGGGATTGACGTAGTGTAACCATTGCCAGAAATATTGTACTTCTAAATACATAATGGTTTATGGAAAACATATTTCTAGTAAAAATCCAAACAAAATATAAATCAAAGAATTTTTTATAAACAACAACTTTTGTCAAACGTTTCTCTCACAATTGCTTTCCTCGGCCCATTTTGTGGCGAACTACTATGTTGAGAACTGCTCAACTGTCGCAAAAAATTCAAACCGATTTTGCAATTACATTGTAGGCAAAGTATCACTAATTCACTTTGTTTGAAATCATTGGTCAACAACCCTCTGCAGCCTCTGGGGAGGTGCAAGTTGATTTGACACACCCCGTCCTCCTAAGGCCTACAGAATTACCTATAGTTTTTGCTTTGATTAACTTAAGAGTCATCTTCACAAACAGAGATCATATGGTTTTCATAATGTTGAAGAAGAAGAGCCTCACTACTCATCTCCTCTTGACAAATCCAGCAGCTGTAATTCTCAAAGATGACCAATTGTGCATCTGCTAGATCAGTGTTTCCAGTCTCCCTCTGTGTTTGAAGGTTGTTTGTAAAACCTACGGCCCTGATAACATTAACGTTTTTACCTCCTGCTCTCTTCCGCTTGCATGATTCCAAACGTTTAGACAGACCTTTGTTTTTCCGGAAACATTTACGTGACTCAACCAGGGTGTGGATTCTCTCATGCTTCCTCAGGCTTCCTGCTTCACTGAAACGCTTGCTACACTGTTTACATTCATAAGGTTTTTCCCCAGTGTGAACTCTTTCATGAATCCGTAGGTGTCCTGCTTGGCTAAAACACTTGCCACACTGTTCACATTCGTAAGGCTTTTCCCCAGTGTGAACTCTTTCATGAATCCGTAGGTGTCCGGCTTGGCTAAAACACTTGCCACACTGTTTACATTCGTAAGGCTTTTCCCCAGTGTGAACTCTTTCATGACTCCTCAGGTTTACTGCGAAACTGAAACGCTTGCCACACTGTTTACATTCGTAAGGCTTTTCCCCAGTGTGAACTCTTTCATGAATCCGTAGGTGTCCTGATCGGCTAAAACACTTGCCACACTGTTCACATTCGTAAGGCTTTTCCCCAAGGTGAACTCTTTCATGAATCCGTAGGTGTCCGGCTTGGCTAAAACACTTGCCACACTGTTTACATTCGTAAGGCTTTTCCCCAGTGTGAACTCTTTCATGAATCCGTAGGTGTCCTGCTCGGCTAAAACACTTGCCACACTGTTTACATTCGTAAGGCTTTTCCCCAGTGTGAACTCTTTCATGAGTCCTTAGGTGTCCTGCTTTACTAAAACACTTGCCACAATGTTTACATTCATAAGGCTTTTCCCCAGTGTGAGCTCTTTCATGAATCCGTAGGTGTCCTGCTTGGCTAAAACACTTGCCACACTGTTTACATTTGTAAGGCTTTTCCCCAGTGTGTACTCTTTCATGTCTCCTTAGAAGTCCTGCTTCGCTAAAACACTTGCCACACTGTTTACATTCATAAGGCTTTTCCCCAGTGTGTACTCTTTCATGAATTGTTAGTTTTCCTGCACAGCTAAAACACTTGCCACACTTTTTACATTCATTAGGCTTTTCCCTAGTGTGAACTCTTTTACGTCTCATTAGGATTCTTGCTTGGTTAAAATTCTTGCCACACTATTTACATTCGTGAGGCTTTTCTCCAACGTGGACCCTTTGATGTGTCTTTAGGTGTCCTGCTACGCTAAAACACTTGTCACACTGTTTTCATGAATCCTTAGGTGTCCTGCTTGGCTAAAACAATTGCCACACTGCTGGCAATCAAGGGACACTGAGCTTGTTCTTCTTTTCAGGTGTCTAGGGTACCTTTCGAAAGCAGGGAAAACGTTATTAGTTAAATGAACAATTATCATTATGTTCTATGGCTATGAAAACTTGCAAAACAAATTTTGTGGCAAGCTGGTGTAACTAAGGTGTGTAACAAATGCAAACAGTTTAAAGGAAGTATGGCACACGTGGAAAATTAGAAAATTCAAAAGACACCCACTCTTGAAAAAGTGATTCTAGACCATGCACCAGCTGACTACATGCCTAAAATAATAAAAGACCCCTTCAAAATGGAGAATCCATCAACAGGGGTCAGTTTATATTTTGCTGACCTTTTGTATTAAGATCTGGGAGTCCCCTGTACTTTGACAAATTTTCCCAACTTTGATAAGAAAATTACAGAAAAATTTTTCTAATATATGTACCATTATAGTTTCTTGGAGTACTCCAAACATTTCCACCATTCATGTGAATGATTTTTGACACCTGATTATGACGTTTCCTTCCCTGTATAAAGGAAACACCAAAGCATTCCCCGAGGTATCACTCTATCCAAAAGTATGTTTTATCAATACAGAGCCTTCTACATGTCCAACTTTAAAACAAAAAAATCATTTTTAATTAACTAAAGATATGATTGTTGCAGGGGTAATTCAATATGAGCAATTGCAAATAAACCTGAAAAAATTTCGGGACTTCAACAGGATTTGCACCCATGGCCTGTGTGTTAACGCTGCAGTGCTCTACCATTTACGCTATACATTGGGAGCAGGCCAAATTGTTGAGTTCATCTTAACCAATGAAAGGAATGATACATGAAGAGTAACACTAAGAAATATGATCATGTGACTCCAGTGTTTAAGAACTTAAGGTGGCTACCAGTAAAAACCAATTTATTCTTCAAAGAAGCCGTTATGGCATTCAAGTGAAAGACGGGCATGGCCCCAGAATATTTAGGTAATAAATTTATTTTTAGAGGCGACGTAAGTAGGTGGAAGACTAGAAGTTCCCAGAACTTCAATATTCCGATATTCAAAACTAAAACAGGGGAGAGGTCCTTTTCTTATAGAACCGTATTCGTTAATATATGGAATAATTTATCATCTGAAATTAAGCTTAGCAAATGTTTAAATAATTTTAAGTGCAATTAAAGAAAACATCTTATGAACGACTTTCCATGATGAGTCATGATGAGTTACGATGGGTTATCCTGTTGCCACTATTAGCTAGTTTTAATTACTTAAATTAATTATCATCTTTAATATAATTTATTAATATACTGTGTAGTTTTTAACTTTTATCTGTTAATTAGTGTCACTGAAAAACCCACATGGGGAGATGTCAATGAAGTGTTGTATTGTATTGTAATTGTTACTTAAGTAATTGCAAATAAATCTGAAAAAAGTTCGAGACCTCAATGGAATTCACACCCATGGCCTCTGCGTTAGGGCTACAGTGCTCTACCATTTGTGCTATGAAGACCCATGCATGGGGGGAGGTCAATTTGTTGAGTTTATCACCTTAACCCATGAAAGGAATGAAACATATCTGTGTGGATTTTATACAAGGTTGCTGTACTGAGTCTCTAGTCAGCCAAGTCCAAGGAGCAACTACTCACCCTCCCCACCCATGAAACTTATGACTAGTCAATCACTTTCCCCCAAGCTCTCCTAGTAGTGTTATGATTATCAGTCACAGCATTGATTTGGCTGGCCTAGCCCAGTGGAAAAATTCTCTGACTTGGCACTGCTTTCTGACATCAAACTGTAATCAAAGTGACAAAACCTCCCCTCCCTACACTAATGGTTTTCACACAAAACAACTCAGCCACTCACCCACAAATAGGTCTGGGCCTGGGCTCTCTGCTGACACCTAGCAAGACTGCAACCCGCTGCTCTTTTTCCGGCTACCCTGGCTTGAACACAGGCAATGCCCATGTTCAAGCGAAAACTTAGCGGGCACCTTTTGGCAAAATCACACAGATATAGATGATCTGAAATGAGGAAATACAAATTTTTAAAAGAAGATACGATCGCACTGGTAAAATTTGTATTTTTGCAGTTCAGATAATCTTTATGTTTCATTCCTTTCATGGGCTAAGATGAAGTAAACTTTGTTCAGAAAACCTCGTAAAAAGTCTGTGTTTTAAAGCTGACTGACTCATTCTGATTAACTAATTCAGCCAGAGTAGTGGACAGCTAAGTTAATGTCACTAAAACAGATTGGTCTTTTGGCAAAAATTAGATGTTTTTACTACAATAAGATTTCTCTACAATTCAGTGTGCAAAGAAAGTAGTGTCCGATATAGCCTGGGGCTATACGAAATATTTCTAAATTCTAATTCACAGGTTTGTTAGCTCGAAGTTGGACGTTTGTAATTCTCTTCCTTTTGGTGGCCAAAAACAGGACATGGTTAAGTTGCAGTACATTCAGAATGCGGCTGCTCGAATTATAGCTGGTCTCAAAAAACGAGATCACATCACCGAGACTCTAAGAGATCTTCACTGACTTCCTGTTGAGGAGAGAATTGTTTTTAAAATAAATTTAATAAATTTAAAACATTGAATGACTCTGGTCCCTGTTATCTTGAAGATATTTTAAAATTTTACCATCAATCAAGGACATTACGGTCATCAAGGGATCATTTACGCCTTGAAGAACCAAATTTTGACATGAAAACTTATGGCCAGCGAGCGTTTTCCGTTGCTGCCCCCCAACTATGGAACAAGCTCCCCTTTGAAATTCGAGCTTGTTCTGATGTTAATCTTTTTAAATCTAAGTTGAAAACGTTTCTTTTTAAAAAGGCATATGACATTTAGTTTCATCATATTTGTTTTTGTTTTCTTTCCTTCTTAAGATGTATATGCTATAAATTTCCCAATATGTACAGTAGTGTGGCAACCTGTAAAAATGACTTTCTTTGCACCCTGACAATTACATGTAGACTGCAGTTTACTACTGTTAGATGTTCTACAACTAGATTTTTGACTACAATTTTGATTTCTTTTTCTTCTGCAGTTAGATTTTTCATGTCAATTAGTATTTTTCTTGTATATGCTTCAAATATGTTTATTACCCTTGGTGGGGGGGGGTTGTCTGCTACACAGCCATTTTTAGTGTCGTCACGCAATGCTCCCCCCCACAAACGGCTACTGAAAACCGAACCACATTCCTGTCCCTTTGTGTCTGCGGTCTAACGAACAAACCAATCACGTATCTAGAAATTGACTGTGACGTCAGTTTTTGCGGGTAAAGCCAAGCGATTCCGGGCGCAAGGATATGAACATGCTTTCCAGCAAGTCATGGACGGCGGAACCCCTAAGAAAATTGTTGACAGTGATTCGAAATGCTTTACTTGCTCTTCCCCGTCAGCAAAATTATGCAGAGAAAATTTATATTTTTGGTAAAAGTTCAATCGACGTGCAAGGTATTATTAAATCGTCCCTTAATGTGGATGTGAGCTGTTTTGCAAACAGTGGCAAGATATTTGTTTGCAAGAGTTGCTACAAACGATTGACGAAGTTTCAGCGATCTTCTGAAAAACTGAACA